CGGTCGCAGGTTAGATTCCACGCACGATACAAACATTTGATTTGATCATATATATTATGTTGTTGCTGAGCGTTTTCTATATATTATATATTAGAGCATCCCCTCGCAGTTTCATACGCACACAACCAAGTCCTTTTGCCCCTTTTAATTAAGTACTCTTTATGTATAAGTCTGCTGTGACCCACACAATCTGGATGCTATGATGTATTAATGATAATTCCGGACTGCTTTCCAACTTGATTTATTGAGTACACGATGATTAAGTGTGGACTGATGCTTGCTTGTGAGTATTTGGTATACTGAAGGAAAAATGGTATGTGTGGACGTTATATGGACGCGGCGCCGTGTAAAATGCTGACGGCTACGGTGACGCACTGTACACTTTAAATGTAATATCATTGACAGCCATAAATTATTCTGAATCGTATTCAGTATTTCCTACGCCGTGCAGTGTACCCCATTATAAATAGCTATAAAACATTAACTCCTTCAATTACAGCTCTAAGACCCACTTTTTTCCTCTAAATAATAGATACGGGAAAAGTGAAGTATTGTTCGAGTTAGGTGTTGTGTATTGTTTTGTTGCTTTTATCGACAAAAACTGCCTATAACATTTTAACAGCGCATTCAATCGATCTGAAACGTCGTCAAGTTTAATTAGTATTGTTGATTTGAGGGTTCCGTATTTATAATGTAGTGCAATAATTAGGGTCATGGTCCAGGGATTTACTAATCGACTTTGAGCCTAAAACTCGTGAGTTTAAATCTGCAGATGCCAAAAAAATTTACTGTGTTATTTTATATTTCTGACTAACTCTTTGTCTATAAAAACTGAATGACTAGGGTCTGGCCACGTGATGAGAACCTTTGCTATCTTCTCCTGCGTCAACTACCCCCGGGTCATTGATTTCAAGCTTCTTTCAGCTATCAACTGGCCCTACATATGCAGCTTGTATTCTTTTAAGCTAAAACTCAACCTAATCCTTTGTATTTGTGCTATATTTGATATTTTCTTTAAAGTATAATTTCTATTTTATTTTTTAATTCATGTAGTAACAAATCAAATTAATCCGGTAGGCGGCGGTAGGTCTGCCTTCGCCTGCTATGTTAATGGGCACGTCAAGTGTTGCATTGTTAATAACCACAATAGTGGACAATGCCTCTGACTACCTCGTCTGGGACAATAGTCGTCAAGATATATTATTATTCAAATTTTCCTTCGTTTTCTTCATGTATTACTGTATAGATATGAAAATGAAAGTTAGACCTATTTTCCCTTTCGAAGACGATATCTGTTTTTGTCACTCGCCAAAACTTTTTCCGACATCAATTTTATGTAGAAAGTCAAAGCCGAAATTTAGCTGTTTTGCGTTATTGTGGCCAAGCAAAGTGGGTTGTAAGCACGATGTTATATTGAAGTAGGCCCCTAGGCTTTGTGATTAGAACTGCATCATCGAAATAGGAGCTAAGAACTGCCGCGTTGTAGCCACCTAATACTGAAAAACTATTCGGAAGGAAAGATATTTTTAAATCTCTTGTTCTAAAACAATAAGGTCCTTTGCGTGATTAGTTAAAAGTAAATACATTCATAGGGTGGGTCGCGTAGAGCACGGCAAAATCGAAGGTCATCCACGGTGACCTTATAATGGTTGCAGGGAATCGATGGAGGCAAGTGGGTCAAGGAATTTATTTAATGGAATGAAACGAGGTCTATGTGTGCAGCTGTAGATGATAGATATAATATGGTATAAGAACTATGTCTAACTGTAATAGAGCTTTAGTCACAGGGTAGGGACGGGGAAGAGATAAGACATGTTGATTTTGTAAATACGTAATAGTGACGGCGTGACGTGTGCCCATCTGCCGGAATTGGATTGTTGCAGAAAGGGAATTAAGATTTTTATATAGATATAATGGAAAACAACCTGATGGCCCACCTGATTTTAGGTGGTGGCAATGATCGTCCATTAACATCTCGTAATTCATATAGTTGCTATTCTAGAGGATTAAAATTTCATATCTTGTCCTGTAATTTCACTTTCTAATCCCTACGAATGAAACTCGGCTTACAAAGCAAGCTGCTTGGCGGCTGTAATAGTTGAGACTGGTACCCCTTATGCTTTGCCATTCCGGAGGTCTAAGATGTTTACAAGCGTTTACAACCTGTAATTTCACATGTATTTTAAAGAGGAATAGGCAAGTTTCTTTATTTGCTTCTTACCTGAATCTGCATTCAGATTACTTGGTAGTGGGGCATTAATTAGGGAAGTTTTACATTCCAAAAATGCAGGTTGACAAGATGATCTTTCAAATGTGACCACAATTTTGAATCTAGACCTTAAATTATAGGAAGTGTGCTTTCCTAAATTGAATCATCTTGGGCAGTTCTGTTTTCCCATATCTTTCAAGAGAATCATGTTTTCTATATTTAGGTTTTATACCTAAACTCTGAAAATATGTAAACTTTGCGCCACCGATAATTCTACTGACGTCAATGCGTTGATTTATATCTTACTGTACAAGTTGGTTATTGAGTTTATGGGCTACGTCCGATGCATATAAATATACATTTTGGTGTGGATACTTTAGGTTAGTTATGATTACCGATTGTACAAACAGGAATTCTTGCGGTCTTTTTCCTACGTGGACGATATAGTGTCTATTGTTAGTTTTACTGAAGCACTTGACGATTTCCGATACTTAGAATTGTTTGGTCTTTTTCCTATGTTGACAATAATATGGTACTTGTTAGTTTTTCGACGATCTTCGTCATGCTTAAAGGCGTGTTAATTTGCGTGTATCTAATAACAAGTGGGGTTTTGTGTTTGTGTTTAAAATGTTTTAGAATTTTTCTGAATATTTAGGTCTGAGTAATTATTTCATTAATAATAATAACCAAGGACAATTCATACAACGCCACCTAGCCTCGAATTAAACAGAGCTTATGTTATGAGTACTGGACTGATTACTTAAATACTTTTTTGCGTAAATACTTACAAAATATACATCGAAAACACCTAGATCGTTAGAAAAAATCGTACTCAAATACAAATGTTTGTATCGTGCGTGGAATCGAATCCGCAGCCGATGGAAACGAGGAGTGTACTTAACCTCTAAACCACGGAGCATATCAAATATTTTTTCCCTGATTTCTTATAATACAAAGTATCCTATTTTTAATACAAGGTTAGTGTGGCTCACGAGATTGTGTTATATGATTGTCCTTCATGGTTCAGCACTCTAAGTAGGTTCTTTATAATGTGCTAGTTGTATCCTACGGTGCTGCCTGTATGAAAAACAGTCAATTGGTCCTTGATAATGTAGGTGAAAATAATTTTAAAATCTAACAATTATTTTAAATAATTTATTAAAATAATACACTTTAAAAACAATCCGAGACAATAAGAGAAATCTATCCATCTTTTTTTTGGTCATCCTCTCCCGACGAAAAAAAGATGGATGAATTGTACGCAAGATGATTAGTATAGAAGGAGAGTAAGCAGATATCATGGCTGATAAGGATCAATGGTAGAAGATGAGATACTGCACCAACTACAAATAATGGGATAAAGGTAAGGCAATGTTGATGACTGTTACTATTACTAATTCATATAATTACAGTATTGGTAAAATAATTATAATTCGTCTGCAAACTTATTGGTCTATTTGTCCAATGTGACTATTAGGTTAAAAATATAAGCTGTCCTCTATCAAGGCTCTACTCTAGGACCAGTGCGTTATACCCAAAATGGTTTTGTTTTTGTAGACAGGCCTTAGAGTACCAATTGAAATAGTGATCCTGCCGATGCTAATGATATTACCAGAGCTGTGGTTGGGGGAACTGATCAGAAGTCGAAAAGATGTGAGAAGACGAAAGAATAGAATAGAATAGAAAATCATTTATTCAAATAAACTTAATTTAAGCACTTTTGAATAGTCATAACAATTTGTTTTTTATCTACCACTCGTTCGGAAAGCTGTCTCATCACAAGAAGAACGAGCAAGAAACTTGTGTGTTGCTCTTTAAAGACTTTAGCAATAAGGAACAACAATTGCAATTACTAACATTACTTTTGATCCGATGTAGCGACAGTTTTACAGTAATATTGATCTAATGATTCCTACTACTTTCCAGTCAGGCTAATATTAGAACCAACCATTAGATCGACATTGGAATATCGCATTTTGTACCTTTTACCATTATTTTCATTTTTCACCGTCATTGAATGAGCTAAGTGACATTCAATCAATTGATTATAACTGAGTTTCTTGTCAGTTGTTCTTAGCTTGAAAGCATTTTGAACTGATGGTAGATTTGACATATTATAAAAGTCTCTAATAGAATAAAGTTATTCCAATTTAATCTGGATTTATTTTTAGAAATATAATGTTATTTTACATTATATTTTTAAAAATCATTCCAGATGTATAACATGTATAACATGATTAAAGGAAGCGATGAATTGAGGCCCACATACAGTTGCACTAGAGCCTACTGGCTATTTTATAGTTAAGGTATTTGTGTGTTTTATGGACGATAATGAAATGGTGTTCCCGCCTGCGCTAACGGCTTACGCTGGCGGGGCATCAGTGGAGGCTGATAGGATGAGCATGAAGTCAGATTAGTTAGCCCATCGTGGCAAATTCACCAAGAAGTTATTACGATCCAGGAGAAACTAGGTAGAGTCAACCTGACATTACATTGCTAGCAATAAGATAATCAGTCCACATTACTAACAATCCCCTTTTCCCCTGTGTTTTGGCATATTCTGGCAAGAAACACTTCCTCTAATCATGTATATATACATTACAAAAACGTCGATACAGTACTGGATTGGATTGAAATAGAATATAAGATTAGATTCAATTCTAATCATAAAGTAGCGTACAAAACATCGCTTACTTTATTACAATCTAACAGATATCTGGTACGATTTTGATTATGTTTGTGTTGACCTTAGTTTTTTTGTTGAGACAACAACTCGGCAACTTACAATCGTTTGTCTCGCCAGTACGCGAGCATTTCCCGTCAGATGCGAACGTGTGGACCACTGTACAATATAACGGATTAAATGAAATAATCGTGTTAATATAGTGACAATCGCTCGGTATTCAGTGTTTAGTGTTATATTATTGTAATTGTTTTATAAGGATTCAGTTTTTCGGTGAGTTTATTTATTTAATGTTTTTGCTTTCAATATCTGTATTTAGTAGTTCAAGGATTGTTACATTTGTTAATAATTATATGATAAGTAACTGGTATATATGGTTTCGATCAGATTTGTGTTTTGCATATTGTAGCGTAGAATTAGTGGTCCATTAAACAGTTTCGTTAGATAGAGATTCGTTCGTTTCTTTATTGGTTTGTGTAGGAAGTTGAAAATTTGATTGACTTGTTTGTTTGAAAGACTTAGGCAATAGATACAGATAAAATCCTGAGGCATGCTGTAATGAGAGAAATATTGAAACAATAGCGTTATTAGATTTTATAGTAGTGTTGTCATAAAGAGAAGATAAGTTATAAATAGCATTAATAGCATAGCAGAGTACAGTAGTTGTGCAAAAACGTCGTTCTACTGTATTGTTTGATTCAAATATTTTTCAGTTTGACGTGCAAAATATTGTATTCTTATATACAAGTATTTTGCTGTAGACTATTTAAATTCATATTTAGTTGAGTATGTTTATTTCTTGGTATTATTGCGTATGTTTATTATATACTGTAATATTCACCAAGAGCATGAAGTTTATTAAATAAATTAGCTACTTGCTCTAACTACGCCCGGGTGTATATGTATTATATATATAAATCTTCTCCTAGAATCACTCTATCTATTTAAAAAAACCGCTTCAAAATCCGTTGCGTAGTATTAAAGATTTAAGCATACATAAGGACAGAGCGATAGCGACATTGTTTTGTACTATGTAATAATGATAGTCAGCAAGAACATGTAGTTTTATAAATAAATAAATTGGCACTAGTGTTCTACAGAATATAGAGAGGCCAAATCCTCCATTTGCAGTATTGAAACATCAATCAAATGTCAAATTTCTAAAAACTTTCATTTTTATTGTATTGTTATTTATTCTTAAATTTATCACTTTTTCGTGCAATACTTCTAAATTTTTCTTTTATACAAGTCTCGTTCTGATAGAATTACAACAAAAAAACTTATAATTAGAGACATTAGTGTTTTTAGGGATGCGCTTACATTCGATAATTAATTTTTATTTTTGTAGATTTTTTAATTGTATTCAATAATTTTTATGTTATACATTTTCTGTTAATATTTGTGATAGCAAAAAGTAGTTAAAACATTTGTGTAGTAATTAGAACCTATTATTTTATAGTTTGTTGCTAGCGACACTTATAATTGACGATAACACTGACTAGCCCATCAGGAAGAACAGTCGTGAAGGTATTTTGTTGCTTCAAATATTTTAAATACATACATACTAGTACGACAATCCTATTAATATTATAAACTCGACTAGATAGATGGACATCTATACCTCTATACAAAACAACCAGTGGACAGATTCGAATGAAACTTGGTACATAGGTAGAGAATATTATGTCCTCTTATTTCAGCTGGCAAACAGCTTATTTTTAAGCTGTGTTTTGGTTATAGGGTGAGAAATTATGGCATAAGAGACGACATCTTAGTCCTCCAAAAATTTGTTTTACTGAAATATAGATCAATTATCGAAAAATGTTGTGGAATGTATATCACGCTACGACTAAATGCTGTTTCTAAACGCATTTATACAATAACAATGTTATAAAGAGGTAAATTTTGAGAGGTCTATTGAATAGATTATGGAAATTCATTTATTGTTGAGCCCATTTATAGAGTGTTGCTCTTTTTGATAGATGTTTTTTTTATATAAATAGAGGAATGCTATCATCATTACATAGTATAAAATAAAGTCGCTGTCGCTGTATGTCCGTCCCTAAGTATTGATGATTCTAGAGAAAGGTATGTATATATAATACATGTACACCCGTGCGAAGCCGGTGGGAGTAGCTAGTAATATTATAAAGAGATAAATTTTGAGGGGTCTACTATACAGATTATAGCAATTCTTTCATTGTTGAATAGCTAATTTATAGAGGAATGCTATAGGCTGTATGACATCACGCTACGACCAATAGGAACTGATCAGCAATGAAAAATGTGATGTAGACGATATTGCGTGGGTCAGCTAGTATTTACATTACATAGCATAAAATGAAGTCGCTTCCGATGTCTTTTCGCTTAGATCTTTTAAACTATGCAACGGATTTTAATGCAATAGATAGAATGATTCAAGAAGAAAGTTTGTATGTATACATGTATGCCTATGGGAATCCGTGGCGGGTAGGTATAGGTAGTAATATAAATTAAGAAACGAATATACGGATACGAGTGGGTGTTAGACCTACAATGAGAAACTGGCAGTTTTTATATTCGTTTACCCATCGCATATGCATAGGTGGTAAGCAGTCTCACCACTGCTGTAAAGCCATAGGGTAATTTTGGGGTTGATTCCCAGTCTGGGCCCGCCCGACCCGTCGTCTTATTCCCATAGATTTTGTCGCTTTTTGAGTTCTGTTCTCTATGTGTGTGTTCTATGTCAATTCGCTCCGCTTTACGACCGATGTTCGCGGGTTCGATTCTTCGCACGGCACAAACATTTGTATTCCTGAGTATGATTGTTTGTATCTGTCTGGGTGATTTCTATGTATATTATATGTATTTAAAAAAAAACCTATGTATATGTTTCAGCTATATGGTACCCATAACACAAGCTTTAGCTAGCTTAACTTGGGTCTAGATGGCGCTGTGTGAATTGTCTTGATATTATTATTATTATATTATATTATAGAGCATATCATACAGCGCCATCTAGTCATCTAGAACTGAGTTTGTATTACAAGTTAGTATTTGTATTTTACTATAGGAATGTCCTATTATAATTTTTACCACATTAAAACCTTTGACCAAGGAAACACATATTTCTATTTCTCCGATCTAAGCATGCCAATGATAAAGTATCTTTGTTAACGATTATTATCGTATCCTTCTTAATTGATTAATTAATCTACTTCTTTATCTATACTATATTTATGTTATCTAAGTTATTTGCAACTGATATTTTATTTTGTTAATGTCACCCTGTTTTACTTCGTCCGGGTAGACAATTACGAGCATTATTAATAATAATCTCAGGACAATTCACACAGTGCCTTCTAGACCAAGTTAAGCTAGCTAAAGCTAGTGTTTTACTTCGTCCGGGTAGACAATTACGAGCATTATTAATAATAATTCACACAGTGCCTCCTAGACCAAGTTAAGCTAGCTAAAGCTACCCTGTTTTACTTCGTCCGGGTAGACAATTACGAGCATTATTAATAATAATCTCAGGACAATTCACACAGATAGACCAAATACATAGAACTTCGTCCGGGTAGAGTTAAGATAGATAAAAAGCTTGTGTTATGGGTACTAGATAACTGATACAAACACTTAGATTTTTTTTCGTCGTATATATATACACATTATACGTAGAAAACACCAATTCACACAGTGATTACAAATGTTTGTGCTGTGCGAGGAATCGAACCCGCGACTATGGGAAGTATGGTGGTATGCTAAACCGCTAGACTACGGTGACCGTCAATTATTAATACTAGCTAAACCCCGTAGTATTGTCTGCGTGGAATTCAGTTAATTGTGTGCAATTGTCCGGAGATACAATTTTTTTTTCTAATAATAATTAATAAGAACCCAACAAATTAGTCCCAAGCTAAGCAGAGTTTGAGTTGTGAGTACTAAACAGTTGATAGAACTTAAATACATAGTTTTTTTTTGTAAATAACCAAATAAAATCCCCCCTAATCGATACAAACAATCATACTCAATATTTGTACTATGCTAGGAATTGAACCCGCGACTAATGTAAGGTGGCAGTCACTAGACCACCGAGGTCGTCATGTTTCAATTGAATTCTAAATTTAATAGGTAAATTGTGAATTGCGAAAGTGTAATTAGTTGCGAAAATACTACAAGATAGTACATAATCGAGCGAATTAAAATATTATCAGTTTTCGTAGATTAAAGAAACAGTAATGAGTAATTTCTCGATCAAAGGTGTTATTGTAAACACCTGCTGGTACGTTGCAGTTGCCAGCATCGGCCGACTGTCGATTATCAACTGTCATATACGAGTACAAATTATAAACGCGAAAGTTTGTATGGATGGATGTTTGTTACTCTTACACGCAAAAACTACTGCACGGATTTTGATTAAACTTTGCAGTTATATAGCTTATACATCGTAATAACATATAGATTATAATTTAAGAAGGTATTAGGTAATATGGGTGAAATATACACATAATAAGTGTAATACAGACAAAGTTGCATATAGTTAAATATAAATAATAAACATACACTTAAATTTCGTTGATTAGGTCTGAAACTGAAATGTGAAAGTCAACGAATTATCTTCACTGCTATAGCTTAGTGATCGGTTTTGAAATACCGGGAGGTATGTGGGTTGAGTTCCAATGTCATGTGGTTTTGTAATAAAACTATATTATTATGTTGATGTTTTGTAAGTTTGTCCTTAGAGCTGTTTATAGTGATTATAGTGCATGATATGTTGCGACAAGTTGGTACTTACTATAAAGTGAAGTTCATATTTATATTTTAGAATAGAAATGATCTTTATTCAAATAAACATAAAGCACTTTTTAATTATCATATTTTTTGACTTCACCACTCATTCGGAATTCATTAATCACGTGACCATAGAGTTTTCTTCATTTCATCGGTCACGTGATCAAGAGTAAAAAGTATGAGAATTTCAGTCTTCAGATTTTAAAAATGAAGTTCAACTTTGAACTTTGTGTCCTTGTAAAAATGATCTAGTTTCATGTGTCTGTTTCATCAGATTTTGTACCCGACCTATATATTTTACTTATTTTTAAACTTTCATGTTTAGTATTAAATATATTAATATATTTTAATTGGTTTTAACACGAATAATTTTATGTTAAATAAAGGTATTTACTTCTCTCGACGTTCCGACTGGGTTCCACTAGCCTTGGCCACGAGTTGACTGAAGTAGCTAGTGGAACCTAGTCGAAACGTCGAGAGAAGTAAATACCTTTACCATA